GCTCCTCGCCGCGAGGGTTTTCGTAAGATATTCCGGCGAGGCCGTGGCGGTGGCCGTGGGCCGGTTCTTTATACGCCGCAGAGGGAGAAGGAGGAGGCGGGCCCACGCACCAGGTGTGCTGTGCGCAGGGCGCGGTCCGCACGATGCCTCCAATCCTCGGTTCCAACGCCCGAGAGAACCGGAGCTTGGAAGGCCCTGCTAGCTGGCACGAACCGGTGGGCCGAATTTTTTATTTTTTTAGCTTTTTTTAAAAAAAAATATTCACAAATAGATTTCCAATGGTTTGATTTTCGTTTAGAGACCCTGACCTCGGCGCCATGGGTTTTGGTGCCGAGGAAACACGTCTCGGCGCCACGGCGAGGTGTCGGACGTGGCGGTGACCTGGCGTCGACGTGGACAAGGCCTCGACGCCATAGATCTTGGCGCTGAGCTCGACGTGGCGCTGAATTGTTACCCTATAGATCTTGGCGTTTAAAATGAAACAAGTATAATTATTATGAGTAACATGTATCAACACCATTATAGTTCAGTTGGTTAGGAAGGAGAATATGTGATTGATTTTTTTAGCAACCTCCACGGGCGGCTCGTACACTGCCGCGCCCATCACCACGGGCGACTCCGCCACTCCTGCCATCACCCCCGCCGCGGCCGCCCTACGCCCCGGCGCCGTTGGGCCCTTCGCCGGCGATGAGCACCCACCCACCAGGTATGCCCAGCCCTTCCCTCCCCTCCTTTCTGTTGGCTTGTTCGGCTAGGGCTGGTTGGCTGGGCTGGTTGGCCAGCCCCCTTACATGGGCACTATTCACATGAACCAACCAATAAGATTTCTTCTCTCACGTAAACGAATCCAGAATAGAATAATACGAACCAAATAACCAAAAAAACAGGCTTTATGTCTGCTCGTGTAAAGTTTTTCTCATTTGAGGTAGGCTTTTATGTCCGCTCGTGTAAAGTTTTTCTCATTTGAGGTAGATGGGCGGGTGTCTTTTATCGAGCAATGTCTTTTCAAGTCCGTCACCAATTGCTATCGGTAGTACGAAGCTGAGATGCAAAGCAGATCGGATCAAGCTGTAGTCACAATCAACTGGAATGAGATACTGCAAATCAGTTGCACTATTGCTGAAAACAGCATATGGCAACTGAAAGCTACAACACCAAAAGATATATTTTCCACTGATCCATGATTTGTTTTGTACTGGAAAAGCAGCATCCACTTATTTTAGTGGCCTAGTTAAAAGACTGAAAATACAGTGACGGAATAGAATGTCTAGCCAAAAACAAATTGCTCCTCCCACTGACCAGTTTATTAGCTAGAATCTACAGTATTTTTTTCTTACAGTAAAATAGTTTCAGTCAGTTTTAATATCAGCCGAACTTACCCTGTCCCGTGGTGATTGCCTCATACAGTACAGTGCAAAATGCTAACGAGTGTCTCTTCTTGCGAAATGCTAATGAACATCTCTTCTTGCATGCCAATATGCTGCGGTTGTACCTCACCTGCATCGGGAACACGCTGGAATTCTTTTTAGCTTCAGCTCTGAGGCTCCTCCTCCTGCTGCTACTGTTCCCAGTTCATCTCGAGCCGACTAGCCTGCTGAAAAAAAATCCATATGTCAAATATTCCTAACCATACATAGGCCCTGTTTGGTAGGGTTCTGACTCCTTTAAAAATGGCTTCGGTTCTGACTCCTCTGAAGAAGCAGCTCCTCTGGAGAAGCTGAAGCCGTTCTGAAAAACGTTTGGCAAAACGGTTCCTTCGCACTAGACGACATGAACCCACAGCAAGGAGCCGCGTGAAGCTCGTTTTTTAGCCTTCTCCTGCGCAGGCAAAAAATGGCTCCGGCTCTTGACCGACTCCCCATGCGGAGCCCTTTCCAAAATAAATGTTTGGCATAGCTCTTGCAGGAGCCGAAGCTGAAGCCCCTGCAGAGCCCTACCAAAGAGGCTCATAGTATTTTGTGATGAAATCTAGAGCTTAATATGGTTTTTAAAACATATGGCCAGACTTAACCGTGAAGTAACCGTGAAGTAAATAAGGCCATATGTGGCCATATTAAGTCTGGCCATACGTAAATTTTGGAATATGTCAAACCTTTTAATTGATCTGCTGCACATATCCATATGTCAAATATTCTGCTTTAAAAACAATCAATCACATATTCCTAACGATATATAGTCTTTTATGTAATTTACGTATATTTTTTAGCTAACATATGGATCACTAAAAAAATTTGTGAAGTAAATAAGAAAATGAACACACACGTAGTCATTATTCTGGTTTCCATGCAAGGCAGCAGCGAGAAACGGGATTGCGGCCGCCGCATGCGTACGCAGCTGAAAACGGGCCGCCGCAGAAGCCCGCAATGGCGTTGGGGTGCTTATACAAATGTAGAAAAAACATTCAGCGCTGGGTTTGAACTCACACCTTTTGAGCTAAGTCGCGCGTGTCCTAACTAGCTGAACCATAGTGATGTTGTTGCATATTACTCGGAACAATTATACTTGTTTCATTTCAAACACCAAGATCTATAAGATAACCGCTCGGCGCAAGATCTATGGCGCCGAGACCTTGTCCACGTCGGCACCAGGCCACCGTCACGTCCGACGCCTCGCCAAAACCTCGGCGCCATTGGCCATGGCGCCGAGACGTGTTTTCTCGGTGCCAAAAGCCATGGCGCCGAGGTCAGGGTCCATAAACGAAAATCAAACACCAGAGGTCTATATGAATATTTTTTTTAAAAAAGGACTTAAAAATAAAAAATTCGGACCGGTGGGCCACTGTTCTTTAGGGCCCAATTGTCAGTGGCTGTCGATGATCTTATAGTTCCACATGTCAGTTGCGGAGTATTTTTTTAAGAAGCCATGTGGCGCAATTTATCTTGATTACAGATTTGCTATTCCACAAACGGTTGTTTTGTTTGCCTCTAACAACCGGATTTTCTAGCGTCCGATTTGACCCGTGTGGCATCTGCTGCCCGATCTGGCCTAGTGAAGCGCGGGAGGCGCGGGCGGAAAGTGGCGCGCGCGGCCATCCTTACTCCGTAGCCCATGCGTATGCAGCGGTTTGCAGAGGATGAGAGGAGACAGGAGGCAGGCGGCGCATGCAGCCCAGTCTGCAGAGGAGGGGACCGGTTTGCATGCAGAGAGGGGAAGGACGTGGGGCCTATGTGTATGTGCGTCAGGAGGCAGGAGGCGCATGCTGCCGCGCGCGTCTGCATAGTGATTTGGCATATATCGGATCTGTATGTGATATTTGCGAATAATTTGACATATATTTTTTGACGTCTGGAATCTATAGAAATAATTTGATTTTTTTAAAGAATTAGCATATATTTGTGTTATTCTTAAATTACATCACTCTATCTAATAAATTACACTGAAAAATCAATATAAATATAGTAATAAGACGGTGTAAATATAGCTATATGTAAAAGCGCATGGAAAAAAAATTGGTTGTTGAAAGAAGCTAAAACAACCGATTGTTAGCTAGACACATTCGATTGATTATTATTAAATAAGTTTACATTGTTTACAAGGCTTAATATAAAATCAGGTATGGAGTACTTAGAGGGTGTTTGGTTTCCCCTGCTAAAGTTTAGTCAGCTAAATTTAGTTTTATTTAGTCATTTTTCATCCAAACACTATGACTAAATGGAACTAAATAGACTTTAGCCAACTACTCACCAGGTTGTTGCTAAATAAGACTAAACCTCACCTTTTAGTCGCTTTAGAGCCAAACAAAAGGACTAAGGTCCCGTTCGTTTCGCTGAAAAAACAAGCAAAAATATTGTTCTCACTGATTTGTTGTGAGAGAAAAAATACTATTCCGCAAAAAAATCCCGAAAAGTATGGATTATAGGAGAAACGAACAGAGCCTAAAGGGCCTTTTTAGTCTCTCTTAGTCATCCAAACAAAACATCCGGTAACTAAAGTTTAGTCTATGGTTTACTTACTAAAGTTTAGCGAGGGAAACAAAACTGGGCTATCTCTGCTTTTTTTTTTTTGGGTTCAAGAGGACCGTGGAATATGCCACGAGATGGCGATGCCAAACGGAGACCGGGGGCGCTGATTGACATGTGGAGCCGGCAGCAAGGGCGGAGATGGCGAGGCGGGTGCATTGCTGTTAGACGTTTGCGTCGAGGAGACAAGGCGAAAGCGATGCTCTCTTCGTCTTCTCCAGGGGTCCTCCGCCCGACCGCCCAAGCCTGTGGCGCCGTGCGTCTCTGGTGCTATACCGTTAGGAATTTAGGATCGTGCCAGTCACGCCTAATAAAGCTAAAAGAGATGTCTGTCCCATGCTGCCGAACGAATCTTCGTCGGCTGGCATTAATTCTTTACTGTAGCAACGAGAAATACACTGTTTATGCTGGAATTTGATGAGAGAAAACTACGATTCTAGCTGGAAAAAAAACCGGCCAGCCAGCTGAAGCTGCCCAGCCGAACACGCCCGAAATGGGCTGTTTCTCCTAATTTGGACAACCAAACAGAGGGCAAACGCAGCCGGGTACGTGGTCCTCGCCAGGCCGATGCGCATATGCAACGGCCTCCACACTCCAGCTGTGCCCGTCCCAGTTCGTACCAGAGTGAGAAAACAGAAGTGCTTGATTGTATCCTCGTCAACCCAAAGAGACTCAGGTTGTGCTAAAAAAAACTCAGGTCTGCGCAGATGTGCTTGCTAGAGGAACTAGAAAAGCAGGAAGATAGAGACAACTTTAGTTTGGGCATGACCACGACACAGGACTTCCAAGAACAGCGCGAACGAAACAAGGTACCATGACAGGAACCATCACTCTTATTTCGGTGTAGTGTACACTGCGTGTATCTTCTGTTAGCCCGCGATTAAAAAGAGAACAATATGCTACAAAACCTCGGTGGCCTTTCCTAGACACCAAAACAGCATTGTCGATGGTTCAGACGGATACTGACAATTCAGCTCAGTTGGCTATCGATTCGAAAGAGGAAACGCCTGCCCAACTGGTATAAAAGGTAATATAAAAACATTAACAAGTGACTCCATAGGGAAGAACTGCAGCTGCCACCGGCCTGCTCTCCTCGTTCAGGATATTATATGTTGAAGCCGCATTCCTCTGCAAACCATGGAAGCATTGTATTATAAGCAGAGAGGAACAGCGCAAGTTTCCTTCCTATTGGAATTCTTAAACTTTGTTTTTGAAACAGGAAAATACAATGAAACAGTGCAAAGGGAGGGATTAGGCCATTAAAATGCATACTGAATCGACAGCTTCTAGTTTCATTCCAGTTGACCGGATGAACTTTCGCAGCTCAGGACTGACCAGCTGGATGTGTCTTCCACAACCAAGAATCAAGATCTCTGGAGAAGAATGGCATATCAAATGGTACAAATCACTTTAATATTTCTACCAATGAGGATGATGAAATATACAGAAAGGATTAGAAAACAAGATTTAGAGCACTACATTGTGCCCTACCATGATGAAATATTTGCACATCAACCACAACTAAGGATTGTCTGTTGAATTAATAAACATAAACATGAAATCTCTCACAATAAAAAACCATGCATGACTTATGGCTTTCTAACAGAGCAGCACCAGCTCCACAAAAAAACCGAGGAATAAGGCCCACACAAAGCATTGGATTGTGACATTAGCACAACAATATGCCTGAAGGTAGCAGAGCATTCACCAAGACAAAATTACCTGGGATAGGGTGCACAACTTTGAAGATTGATAAGCTGCATTATTTAAGCAAGGAAAAGTGTCAGAAAAATCTTATAAACAGGAATATTACCATCAATACAGTGGCAAACAAAAAGTGACAGAGATACTGCATCAAACTCTAATTGCATACTACAAGAGCATTGAAGTATCAAGACATCAATATCCATATTATCATATATACAATGGAGTATACAACAGTTGCACCAAACACTTAACTTCAAGTGTGAGTCTTACCTTTCAGCAGTTATCTCTGAGAACGTTTTGGGTGCCCATGTCATTATCTTGTTCTCTACAATCAATAAGCTGCCTTCATATTTTACATTGTTAATTTTGAATCCAGTGTCATCATACCTACAAACAGCAAAACACACTTGAGACACCTGACCCAATGCTCCAGTTAAAACTGAGCTACAGAACTAAATGATACAGCTTACTGGCTCTTCTTTGATAAATATATAGAAAAAACACGCAACACCAAAACATTACATAGAACTCCAAGCCTCCAAGACATGGGCATATGGCGTCATTCAAGTACCTTCTGGACAATAGGCTTTCCCATTTGTGTTTTACTTCAACTAATTGCATATCAGTGAGGCTGACAATTGATACCAAGAAAAGAGCACTAAAATTCGCATAGCAGAACGAGCATTACGAGAAATTCGAACATCCTGTCCTACACACCACTCATGCCTATATTGGAAAATGTATTTTCAGAGGAATAGCCAGAGACCTTCGAATGTCTAATTGACACTAATACAGTTCGATGTAATGGTTATCTCAATTGCCCTATTACACGTCTAAGAAGGAAAGTTTTACTTCAGTTTATTAATGGAGGCTTTCTTGATTGTTAGGTGGCGAAATATTGAAGCAGCACAATAGTTTGAATTTTCTATCATAAGATGCACTCCTATGAAAACAGAATAAGATAATTTGAAGGAGAAAATTATCGTACAGTAGGATAGGATTAAAAACAGATCTACATCCACATGTTTTTCGATGGATTGGCACCTTTTGGTCTCGTTGTGAAACTGGATACCTATATCCTTTCTCCCCCCCTGGGTCTGTTGCATTGCTGTAGCATTCCCACAGGGGGTTTGCCCTTTCTTTTCCACTTGTACATATTTTGACTTTCTATTTTCAAGAAAATCACTGAATTACAACACCTAAAACATAACAGAGAACACTAAGCCCTCCAAGTGGAGAAAGTGAAGCATGTACATTGAATAGACTTTTTCCATTTGTGTTGCTCTTGCTAGTTGCATAGCAATGAGGCTGACAGGTTGATCTCATAGAAAGAGCACCAAAATTAGTGAAGCGAATGAAGAATAAGAAATACAGTACATAGTTCTACATCCCATGCCAATATTGCCTAGTTAACATTCTATGCCAACCTTCACTCACAGAACATCACAATAAGGGTGTCCAGAATCAATGAAAGCTCTGAGTTATGTGGTACCAAACCCACTAAAACACAGAAAAGGACCACTCCTTGCTTTTAAAAGAAGCAATAACATGGGCCAACCAATCATATACTCGGTAGATGGTATTTGTATTGTTTTTCTCATCATTCACACGTTTATCTAGTTTTCTCAATACCAACAAGGCAAACAACCAATAACCACATTTGTAAGCCTAAGACAAACACATTTCAGAGATAACAATGACTTACCAGCTTATAGCACAAAATAAACTATGTAGGAACAGAAAAGATTGAATCATCACCATAGAACAAAAAGGGGCAAGGAAATGTTAGGTGAACTCCAAGATCAGCATGACCAGAAAAAAAGGTAAAACAAAACATCATCAAGTGTCCCACTGTTCTGATCTATACTAGATAACTGTAAATCTGCTAGTTGAAGAATATTTTCCACTTCGCTCATTAAAAAAAATTAGTTATCGACAGATGTACATAACAATTTGTTCTAAATCATGTCCCTACAAACGAAAGGACCACGACATTGGCTTTGGGATAAAGTGGAAAAGGTCAGATGACCCTCATGCCCCAAATCAATACTAGTTTTAAAACAGGCTCCATCACAGGCTCACAGCCATTTATGCTAATAGAAGATCATCAGGTAATATATCCTACCTATTCTAACATATCATGGATACATTTCATAAATGTGACTGGAAGAGAATATAACACTAAACTAAGAAAAAATTGCATAGCAAAAAAGGGAGAGGACAACAAAAGAAAAAATATTTGCCCATACTTGTTCTCTTCCTCTATGTTCAGCCAGAGAGGTATTGGTTCACTTTTGTCAATGTCAGTTATTTACAACTGCTCATATCGATAACAGTTCCAATTCATGACCCTCAAAGCTGAACCATCATGGTATTGCCTTGATGGTAACAAAAAATGAAAAGGGCAGTTGAACCTCATTCCTCAATTCTTTACCAGTTTTCTTTTTCAAAAACAATGCTGCAAGTCAAGGTATGCAATTTATTTGCGAACAACAAGAAGAATTTTCAACACAAAACACAATGGTCTCCGACACAAACAATTAATAACTCCGAGAATTTTGTAAATTTCTGTTGCACGCATGATTGCATATCCAGAATCCATCAATTCCAGACCTTAACTACAAAGAAGAATTACACGCATTGCATATGGATACATACGCATTGCATATGGATGCATAATCATATCCAAAAATTAGGAAATAGGGAGCACAGCCTCACCCATAAAAACTCTTGGCATTAATTAAACAATAATAAAATGGAAATAATAATGCGAAAGTATGCAAGGAGAGATTGCGTACGACTGGAATCGGAGCTCGTCTTCGGGGACGCTGTCGATGAGGTTGATCTGGTCGTACAACGAGAAGGTCCTCCTGCTCATACCCGCATCCCAAACAAACCAGATCAGCCAAACAAGCCCAAGCGAACAGGGCGAAAATCAAGTACCCATAAGCACCAGAGAAGAAGAACAGCAACAAGTCGCATTTCCTCGGTCCAGCAGGGATCCAGCGTATACCTGAGAGACGGAAGGTGCCTGAGCCGTGCGCTGCCGGAGACGGGGTCACTCCGCAGCGACTTCACCAGCTGCGGCAGAGCCCCCAGCGCCTTCTGCCCTCGAGCCGCCGCCATCGCCTCCCTCCCGCTTCGCCGGCCGGTCGGCTCCTCGGCTGGGGCGGTCGTTCTAGACGGGTCAGGGAATTTTGCATCTACGACCTTGTAAATTGTAACGGAAATTCGAAAAGGTCCCCACCTGACGCGTGAGATTATTCGGCCCGTTTTAAACTGCGGTGGCTATGAGGTGGGCTGGGCCTTTGGTTATTTATTTACACATTTTCAATTCCGTACTGGGCGAGTGGGCGTAGGGCGAGCTCCCAAGTCGACGTGGCGGGGATGGCTGCGACGGCCGGCGGCGGCGTTAGTGGAGGGGCTAAGGCGGCGGTGGCGGAGCAGATAGCACAGGCAGTGCGGTCCACCTCCAACCTCCTCCAGCTCATGGAGCAGTCCTCCCCCGCGCAGGTCTCCCGCCTCCTGTCCCCATCTCGTCTTGGTTGGTTCTCGAGTGTTCCGGTTATATGCATGATTTTACAGCCGTTTGCTGATCACAAGAATCAACTGGCTTTGCCAAATTTGTGTGAAATTGACTAAAATTATGCTGTAGTTCGTTCATGGTGTCTCTCTTTACTCTTTAGAGACAATGAGGTTAGGAATTTTGATGGATTTACTTTTTCCTTGAAGGTGAAATGATTGCCCAATTCATGAATGTTATTATCTTCATCTTATACTGCATAACCTAGAAATTATTCTTTTGGAGTTTGGCTGATTCTTCTCGCCCTTGAGCCTGCGAGCGAGCAGTAGGTAGTTTTTTTTGGTCGAGGTCATCATTGTTGTGCTGTATACAAAGAGCGCTCGAATGTAAAAAAAAAAAAAAAAAACTGGACCTGCGAGGGTATGACCACCCCCAGTCATTGCATTAAGAAGAAGACCTTCTCACGCAGGCCCAGAAAACGCCCGAACCCCTCCCCCTTCCCTTACACACAACACTGCCACCACACACGCCACAGTGAGAAACGGGTCGGTCTTAGACTGCTGTGCTTGGCGTGGGGATGACAGAGGGTTTTTTAACCCCAGCCTGAAATTCGCTCCCACGGGGAGTCGGGGAGTGCCGCCGGGACGCTCTAACCAGTTGGACTAGAGACCCTTTGGCAGCTCGAATGTATTCTTACACGAGTGCCTGGGTGTACGTTGTAAGGTTCTTGCCCCCTTTTTTCTTAATATAAAATGCACAGCTCTCCTGCGTGCTCGATAAAAGCAACCTAGAAATTGTTGGCATTCGATGGCCATTGATTAAGCAGCGCGCTTTGATTGTCATCTAGCGACTTCCACAATGCTGCGCAGTGTCCATGTAGATGCAGCTTGGTGTTACGGCTTTAGATGGATCCTCTACTTCAGGCTACAATCACCAACATGCCAATTCACTTATTTAAGGAGTGCTACTAAGCTTATGAGTCGTTTTATAGTTCAGTTTTGTATTTTCAGTGCTACCCAGTACCCACCTCTCTATTCCCCAATCCCCTTGTGATTCTTCCTAATTTTTCCTCATATAAATCAATAAAAGTTCAGACAGTTCAATGAACTGCCATACTTTCCTTCAATTAATAAGTTTATGAAACTGCGCCCACAACAGTCAACAGACATGTTGGGACGTTATGATGTTATATTGTTGTTACAAGTACAAGCAATCAGTTTGTGAACCAAGATAATCAGCAGAGATGTACTTGTGGTCTCAGGTTCACTTGGCAAAACTACCCAAGAACCTGTTGGAAAAAGCATCCTTTGCAAAGAACACAGAGCATGTAAGAAATAAGAGTAGCATTGGATGCCAAAACTAGTTGTAAAGTAGCCATTAATATCTGTGCCCTGTTCTAGGTGTTGCACCAGCTACCTCAAGTAATTTCATCCTTGGATGCTTATATGGACAGGAGTTTGCAAAGGTTAGCTTCCCCTATATCCATATTTTTTATACATTATCTTCTCACTAGAAGTTCTACGTTTTTCTCTAAGACTTAGTCATGGAGCTTTTTTAGCTGCATTTTTTCTGTCCAGAATCCAACCAACTAGGCTGAAATTTATTTTCTCCCTCTTTGCCTGCCAGAAAAGGATCACTTATGTCAGTTTTGTGGCATATGATCGTTATGTCTCAATTATTTACCAGTTTTTCCTTTAAAAAAAATGATGCAAGGCAGACTCATCAATATTATTCTGAACAAGAAGATCAATTGGAATGACCATTTCCCACCAGACACATTGGTCTAGGACACATCCATTAGTAAACTGAAATCCCAGCTTGTAGTTCTGTAAGATGCATAATGGTTCTTCTAAACTGAACGCATGTTCAGATTTCCAACCAACTAGGTTGAAGTTTATTTTCTTCAATATCACCTCTAATAAACTCTTCTTTTGTATATTAAAAAATTGTGCAGTGCCTCTCAAATTAAGACTGTCACACAGCTCTTGTCAAACATGGAGAACACTCAGCTGAGATCCATGTTACCTTCCTCTCAAATGAAGAAAGATCAAAAGAGTACTGAACCTTAAGAACTCAGAGTTGACTGATGTGTTCACCGAGACTTAATGGAAGGATATGTCTTTGCCGTCTTGTGCTAAAGAAATTTGAGTATTGTGATTCAAGAGATGGCTTGGCTCCATCCGGCATAAGGATCCATGGCTGCCTACTGTTTGTCCCACATTTGCTGAATTCAGTTGGGGAATGCTGTTGCTGTAACTATTCTTCAGGTGCCATTTTCTTTTTTTTTCTTTTTTTGAGAGAGAGTACTTCAGGTGCCATGTTACGGGTGCCTAGAACCTGTATCATAAGGCAAGCATGCCTGTTAATTGCCACGCTTTCTGGTCTATAAACATGCTGTTTTCTTGTAATTGTGTTTGTTTTTAGCAGTAAATTAAGGTAGAAATTAATAAGTGATCAAATGTTTAACGTGGCACTGCTCTTTGAAGTTCAATTGCATGCATACCCTATGAAGTGAGGCGAATGCTTCCCCTGCGTACCAGCAGGCTTACGAGGGCTCCATTGGCAAACCACCATATTTGAGGTTGGGATCTGTATTTATAAACTAAAGATAAATATTTCTTGAAGCTACAAGTACCTAGATCCAAGAAACCCACGGATTCAAACAAGGTCTAGCTCTTCGTGAATTATGATGTTGCTTTACGTCCCTTCTCTCACCAAGTCTACAAAAGGGGAGGGCAGATGATCCCAGCTGTGCTGTTTGTTGCTTCTCCTTGTTGCCTTGTGTGTCCATGCTACTTGTCTAGTACTTGAGTAATCGTCAAGCTAGCAATGAAGAAAAGTGATGATATAGAGCTGTGTCTGCGTGCCTGGAAATGGGAGGCAATTGGGAAGAAAGTGAAGAGACGAATTTGTACTCTCGCCGTCGCCACGACGACACTCCTCGGTGCTGAGCTCCGCTACGAATGAGAAAACATGAACAGGCTTATTGGACCGAACGTTTCTCTTTCTCCTCACCTCATGTATTCCTTCTCTGTACGGACAACGTTGCGGGCTTGCGGCCATGCAAAAACTACACCAAGACTGATGTCCCAAAACAATGTACGCCTACTCAATCGAGAGAAGCTGCAAATCGCAATGCAAAAAGCAGCAAGCGCGCACGCGAAATTTAGGGAGAGATACCTCGACTCGACCACAATGACTGGTCTGATGAGGCCATGGGCCAGGTCGACCCCTGAGCTCGTCCTGGGCCTCTGCAATCAAGCCCATGACATCTAGGGTTTGGTGTCCACCGTTCTGGTCTATAAAACACAGGGCGCAGGGAAAGTTCCCCCCATCGCTCCACACCGCCGTCGCTAACCTGCTGCCACCGACGGTTCTTTCGCCCTCTTGCTGTGCTCCTGTTTCTCCTATTTTTTCTTCGCTGTTTCTGTTTGCCTCTTTTTTCTTCGCTGTTTCTGTTTGGCGATTGCTATATCATTTTGAGCATTTTTTCTTCGCTGTTTCTGTTTGGCGATTACTATATCGTTTTGAACATTTTGTTGGCGATGAGGAAAGAAATCCGTGTGCCGGAGGCGTCCGCCGGACGCCGGTGTTGGTTGCACAAATCCTCTAAGAAGTTCTGAGCCACTTGTTTTTACGTCCTTCTCTTAGATCCGAGAAATTTCAATATTTAACCCTGAGTTCGTAGGCCTCTCAATATTTGACATCCAATTCGTAAGCCTTTCAATATTTGACCCTGCGCAAGCGAATTCTTTCAATATAAGGGATTTCTCAGATTTTCTCTCTTTTTCTATTTCTAAATATCTGTTCTCACTCCTCAGAACATGGGAAATGACAAAACTACCCACGCCTTCTTATCCTATCCTGCAACCATTTGCGTTCCTTCGTCGCGATCACGACCGCACGGAGGAGCGAGGCCGCTCGCGGACGCCACCACCTGACCCCGACCCCGCCCGCATGCAGCGGCGCCGCCTGTCCAGTTCACCTCCGCGTGCCCAGACCCCTTCCGCCCGGGGCACGACGAGCGCAGGCGCTCGACCAGCCGCCGCCCGCTTCCGGCCACTCCGGCGCCAGTCGACTAGCCGCCGCCGGCCCCCACTCGCCGAGCACCGCTGGTTGGTGTCGTCGCTGCATACTAGTTCTAGTCGTCGCAATCGCCCTCCGCCTCCATCACGCCGCGCATGCAGCATGTGGTGGCCGTCAAGGATGGGATCCGCCTGGCCAGCCAGCCGCATCGGACGGGTGGACGGCGCGTGGCACAATCGATCGTGGCCGGGAGCGCGCGTCTGACCGCCCGCTGGCTGCGCGTGCGATGTCTCCTGCAGCTCCGATCCGGACATGCATGCCATATACCATATACACGAAGTGGTTATCACACATGCCTAGCTAGCTGGATTTAGATTAAGCTAATACTACTACTAACATGCATCGAGCCCCCGTACTAACACGATGTTAGCTTAGCCAAAAAAAAATTACATCAAGCACCGGCCATATGCCTGACAGAAACCAGGCCGGCCAGGAAGATGTTGTGAGAAAAGAGCGCAAACCGAGGGAACCGAGGGCTGAGTGAGCGTCTAGGCCATCTGATATGAGCGGAGGGTAGTATTGTCATTTCCAGTGTCCTAAACAGTGTAAAGAAGCAACTAGAAATAAGAAATGAGAGAAATCCTTCGTAATCCCTAAGATTGAAAGAATTCGTATGCGCAGGGTCAAATATTGAAAGGCTTGCGAATTGGATGTCAAATATTGAGTGGCGTTCGAACTCAGGGTTAAATATTGAAATTTCTCCTTAGATCCAGAGTAATTCTTTCTTCCTTCCTGGTGCTTCCAACTGATCCTGTCCTGTTGTTGGCTTGGTCTCTTCTTGGATATTTGTTCTTGTGAGTTGATTTCCGATGCGAGGTGATGATGCATGTATGAAAGTCTGTCAATCCCCTGATGTCACAAAGTGATGACTCCTCATACATCCCGACAGGCTCTGATCGCATCTGCAGCCGCTCTACCCGCCGCACTCTATTGGATTTCGATCTCCTAGTACCTCCTTAACCTCCTTTGCAATTCGATTGCAATCTGTTGATTTTTTTCTTTTTATTTCCGAGTTAAAACGAGTCTTTGAACT